GCCTATTGGTTGATGCCCTGCATTCCATTGTGATGACTCATGCCCAGACGTGGTAAACACGGCACACTAACACAGTAATACATTTGCTATAACACAGCCAAAAAACTCAAATAAAACCATTCTAAAAGCCTGTATCACAAAAATTTAAAAAACGCCTAGGGATATTTGCCCACTGTACCTCCATACCAAATTTCAGGACCTTAGGCCCTAAAATGAAGAAGCTGAATCCATTTAAAAAATGGCAGGAGAAGAAGAAGAAGAAGAAGAAGGAGAAGAAACATCAGAAAAAGCAATATGGGTTCACCACCACTTCGTGGTGTGGTGAACCCATAATAAAGCTCGACAAAACGCACCAAAGCCAAACAGGCCTTTAACCTCCTTTGGAGAGTTCGGTGTTGTGCCTTTTTTTCTATTTAAAAAAACATTGGCGGTCCCTGATCAGCGCTAGTGTTCAAGACACCAAAAGATGTAATCTTTGTTGTTTTTTATTGAGAAGTCATTGAAAAGAAATGTGCAGCTGTCAACAGTGGTTGCTGAAAACGTACAGCTTGTATATAGTTACGCCACTGCAGTCAAAAACGTTTTGCTTTCAAATCACCGTGCGAGCGTCATAGTGACTTATTCCATTACATCGCTAATAATCCGTTACAGAAGTAACCGCGGGGAAAATGAAATACATGCAAACCTGTTTATTGTTACATATTATAGTTTTCAGCAATAGTTTTCATGGAGTGTCCAATTACCTGGAATGCGTATGTTATAAACGTGTTATGGCCTGAGCATATAGGCAGGTAGGCATTATAAGACATCACGGACGGATAGTTGAATTCAATATCTTTTGTTTTTCAGATGAAAGACTGCTGAAGTGGAACAGCCAATTTTCATCGTTTTGTCATTCTCTACCACAATAATCATGCCTTATGTATGTATTTTGCTGGGAAATATTCAACTTTGTTTACACGGTTGAATCCATACATATGTCCCGATTTATATTTGAATAGTTCTTTTTTCGAAAAGGATGCAATGTGGCCGGTTGACGTGCAAATTCGGGTAAGCTCCATCAATATGACGAGTATTGTTTAGCACACAAATGTAGCAGTGAGAGGAGGAATTTTGAAGCTAGACTCAACATTGAAAGATTTCATTTGACTTGAGATATATTTCCCCCCGTCCCTCACCATCACGCTTCATAAAACTTTCTCAGTCGGATGAAAACTAACCCTTCATTTATTTGTAAATCTAATTGCAGCCATGCGAATGAATTGCGAGTTTCTTTGAAATTTCCGAACTCTTTCTCACTTCATCTAGTTTTCCTCTGCACTAGGTGCCCAACGAACGTGCTTGATCGTACTGAACTCACTGAGCAAGGTATAGTGACTCGGAAAGGTGCATTCAATTAATGGTGCATTTAAGTTGATCTTTCCGTAACCAAACCTGCCCTGTTCGTCATGCTGTGTTACCCAACGTAATCCAAGGAAAGGTTCCGGTGCGTAATAAGTGAGTACCAGCGCACGGATCGTGCACTAGTCTTCCAGTGGGTAACAACAACCTTGTGGCATCTGAAACAGAGAATCGATCGACTGAATGCTAGCATGTTGCCCTTTACTCAAGGCTAATCAAAGCATTTTGTTAAATCCTTATAGCTTGCAATTAAGTTCTTCATGCATTCGTCAATGGGCCAAATCCGTTTATTTCCTGTCTCTGCAGCTTGTTAGAATTTCATGGCTCTCCTCCTTCTCTGGACCTTTAATTATGCTCTTTCAGTGACGTCTTCTTGATTTCTTTGAGGAGTAAACAAGTCTGAAGCTGCGCAATTTGGTGTCCTTAGCCTTGAGGCACCGAACTTCGATTTTGCATTAGACTTTTCTGCCTTACATGGTAACGGCTTCCAGCGGCGCTGCTCCCCCCGGGCACAGCCATGCATTCAGCGCCCACACGGCTCAGCCTCCCCGCTAATTAGCTCTGCCGAACAACACTATGACGTTTGTGTTGCCATGACGACGATAGCAAAATACTATCGTGGCCGACAGGTGTAGGCGTTCTTTAAGCAGATGGTTTCATTATCTTAACAGCCAATGTTATATATATATTTATAGTTGAAAAATATTACTATCACGATTAAAATTGCTAAAATATAGGGAATAAAATGGTTTCATACGTATATAGTTTAAAATCCTCAAATATTTCGTCTTGTGTTCCTGCAGGTGAGCCATGTCTGACGGCGACCTGTTGGCGGTGACGGTCTCGCAGTGGACAGGGTTCGACCCGCCCGTCCCGGCTAACCACACCGACACCCCGCCGCCCTACTTCCTCAACGTGACGTACGACGAGCTCGAGTACTCCACACCGGGCCCCAACGGCACGGCTTGGGAGGACGACATCGCCTACAACCGGCACAGCCGAGTCATCGCCCTGGGGGTCCTCTTCACCGCCGGGCTCTGCGGTAACCTCTGCGTCTGCAACTGGATGCGCGTGCACCGCAAGAAGAAGTCCCGCCACAACACCTTCGTCTTGAACCTGACCGTGGCCGACCTCCTGGTGACGCTCATCACCGTGCTGTCACAGATCATCTGGGAGCTGATGGAGCTCGCCTGGATGGCTGGGGACGTGGGCTGTCGGGTGGTCAAGTTCGGACAGGTTTGTTTGTTTGTTGGTTTGTCTGTTTGTTGGTTTGTCTGTTTGTTTGTTTGTCTGCCTGTCTGTCTGTCTGTCTGTCTGTCTGTCTGTCTGTCTGTCTGTCTGTCTGTCTGTCTGTCTGTCTGTTTGTTTGTGGCGAACTTCGTTCGGCGCGGTCACATTCAACCTAGACCGTCGTACGATTTTGATGGCTTAGAATTTCCGAGCAGGCTGTGACAGAACCAATCGCAGACAAAACAGTATTTTCCGTAACAAGATAGCTGAATGGGGCACAGTAGCCACGACTGTCACAAGAATGCCTTCAGTTTGTGGCTGTACGAGTATCGTGCGACAAATGTGACCATGCCCTTACGAGTACACAAGATTGACTCATCTCTTTGAGGTTTCCTATGATGTAGATGTTGCTCACGAAACGAAAACCTAACCGTGTTTGCTCTTGTTGGCAACAGGTCTTCGCCATTATCGCCTCCTCCAACATGATCGTGCTGCTGGCGCTGGATCGGCACAACGTCATCATGAAGCCCTTCAGCTCCCGCTGGCGGCCCTGGAAGATCACGGCGGCAGGCTGGGTCATCTCCCTGCTGCTGGCCGCGCCACAGGCATACGTCTTCCGCGGGGTAACTATAACTTCGCGCACCTTTTCGGTCACGTAACTGTGGCGTAATTCATTGTCCGCCACATTGATGTGTTAGCGACGTTACCATCGTAATCTACAATCCGCTATGTTGATGCATCATGTTCCGTCATGTTAGAGGGTTAATGACGTCATCCATTGTCCGCCATGTTGGTGTTGGAGTGTCCATGGATGTGATAACACGGATTCGATTCCTCCCCGTGTTAACAGGGCCAGGACGAAGATGGCGTCCCTTACTGCAGGAGTATCTTCTCCTCCCAACCTGCGTGGCACCTGCAGATCTACATCATCTACGGCGCCACCGTGGTCTTCGTCGTGCCCTTCTGCATCCTGTCCTACACCTACAGCCGCGTGCTGGCCAAAGTGTGGGTCCGGGCCCGGGCGGGAAGCCCCCGGGCACTCGCACGGCAGGCCGGAGGGAACAAGAAGCCTTCGCGCCGAGTGTCGTGCGTGGCGCAGGTTGGCAACCTCCTGCCGCGCGCCAAGGTAAGGGCATTTCTGCAGATATCTTCTGCGACTGTATCCTTATCTGTATATCTATCTGTATCAGTATATTCCAGGTTTGGTCCTACCACACCGTTGGCTATTCACAAGAGCAGGACATCACTACGATATGCAACGTGGAACTATTTTGAACTTCAATACCTTCGTTAAGAAAAAAAGCGTCACCAGACATTACATCAGACGAGACTAATATGTCACCTCATCTTGATCAGACCACAGATATTATAGAGCAGCATGCTCTATAACCAGTGTCCTGTGACGGTGACTTAAAGCTCTGCTGTATTTCAGGTGAAGACGCTGAAGATGACGCTGGTGATCATCATGGCGTTCGTGCTGTGTGGACTGCCCTACTTCATCGTGGAGATCAAGGTCGCCTTCGGCGGCATGTCGAAGGTTAGTCAGTTTGTTTGTTTGTTTGTTTGTTTGTTTGTTTGTAATTGTGTGTCTGTGTTTTCTAAAGATCATCATGTCATAACCCCCCCCCCGGAACAAGGAATATCTTAGATACGATACAAAATGAACACTATTTTGCAATATGTTGATAATACAACAAGGTATTCTTTCTATCTTGCCCAGCTGGACAATGACGTGTACGCCGTGCTGGGCGTCTTCGCTGTGGCCAACAGCGCCGTCAACCCCTTCGTCTTCCTCTTCTTCAACTCCACCAACAAGTTCATCCACAGCCTGGAGCAGAGGTGCTGCTTCGCCTGCCTCAGCAAGAAGCGCGTCCGGGAGGGCGTCCGGCGGATGGAGCTGGTGATCGCCTCCTGGTCTCCCAGTCGCCGCGCCAGTAAACCGTCCATATCCCTCAGCACACACGTCCAGGAGAGGGGCAGGACTCGCAGCGCCAACCTGTAAGCTGTTGGCGATGGATCCACTGCAGCAGCAGAAGGTGGAGAGTTCGAATCTCAGTAAACCCTCCATATCCCTCAGCACACACGTTCAGTAGCGGGGCAGGACCCTGAGACACTAGGGAAATAGACACACTCGACCACACGGACAGCGACACCACCTTCCGGATTATTCTAACATTGCAGCCAACATTGCAGAAACAAAGTGCGAAACACTGAGCTTTTTATAAGAATGCTATTCAGATTACAAAATCAACGTATTTTCTTACAAAAAACAACCTGGTCAGGCTCTGAAAATTAAAAAAAAAATGTCATGCTATCGACGGATAACACTCAATACTCCAAGCTGTTTTGAAGGTTTTGACCAGTTAGGCCCAAAGAATACACAAACGTTAACGATGCCGATAGAAAAGCCGACTGAATACTAGAAAGGCCAATATTTGCTTTGGAGCAAATACAGCGATGGGTTCACCACATTTTACGACGTCATGGCAGGGAAAGAATGAGAAACACAAGGGAAAACAATGATTTACATTGATATAACTATAATATGAAGTAACATACAACTAAAACAACAGTTGGATAGCTATTTCCTACTTTATTGGTTAGGATTTTTAATTGCATAATGCAAACTGTTGATTTTCAAAATAAATAAAAAAACGTTCATGCCCCGGATTCCAATGCTGGAGCAGAAAAGCTT